GCCAAGATGTCCATCGACAGATGAATGGATAAAGAAGATGTGGTATATATATACTATGGAATATTATGCAGCCATCAAAAAGAATGAAATCTTACCATTTGCAATGACGTGGATGGAACTGGAGGGTATTATGCTGAGCAAAATAAGTCAATCAGAGAAAGACATGTATCATATGACCTCACTGATATGAGGAATTCTTAATCTCAGGAACTACTAGTAGTTTGATGTCGCTGCCTTCTTAGGTTCATGCGAAGGCACCACAGTTTTATTTATCATTCCTTTTGCACCATCAGTGCACATGTCAACATACTTATTCCAGGATAAACCACTGAATTCAGAAAGATTATTCAACGTTTTGCATATTTCACTTGCATTCTTGCTAATCATTCACAGACAAGGAGATCTTCTTTCAATAGTTGGTGCTGATACTATTCGACAAATCCAAGCAAAACTGCATGACCAACAATGTCTGTAGATGTGAGCATTTGTAAGGCAAAAGTACAACTCTGCAGATGGGTTACTGAGTCTTCATGTTTGCAGCTACATCTTGAATTCAACAAGTTATTTTATTATTGGAAAGTGTTACAATTTTGTTTACTGATTCTTCAACCAGTGCAAGTTATTGCAAACAGGGCATTGAGGTCTTAGACTTCAGGATATGTATTCATTGATGTCAACTTATTAGTTTCTAGGCTTTTGTGTGCATTTCTCTAGCCAACACAATATGATAACCTACTCTATATGATACTTCACTGACTTTTTCATTTGGAGTTTGAAAAGCTGTAACAAAGAGTATTTTTTTTTTTTTGGCTTTAAAGAGCTCATCACATACACGTTCAAAATGTATATGTATTTCTTTTTCTTTAAACTCTGAACAATTGGTCTTAAGATGCCTCAACTTAACTGGCACCTATAATACTGTTTTAAAAATGTGCAGTTCACCATTGCTCTTTCTTTCTGAGATTTACATCTGAGTATTGTCCTCTGCCTCCTTTGTATCCTCTACCTGGTGACAACTACTTTGGGCACAATGCCATGCATCTTGTGGTTTGGGGTTTTAGTTCTTTCCTGATTTATTGAAAATAGTATTTGGGTTTTTGTCACTTGTTTTTTGTGTTGTTTTGGGATGATTTCCAGGAGAAGAGGACATGCCAATACTATATGGACACCTTTGCTGGAAGTCACCACAAAAATATTTTACTGTATTATAACATAAACATGGAAAATCACACAAATCATGAAAATACAGTTTCATTCAATATCATAAAGGAAATGCCCATATAACCATCATGGGTCAAAACTAGAACAAATCTACATCATACCCCCTTCTGCTGCCTACCAACCCCCTCTTTTTCCCAGCTTTATTGAGATATAATTGACATAAAACAATGTGTAAGTGTAAGGTGTACAATGTAATGATTTATGTATGTAAACATTGCAGAATAATTAACCACAGTAAGGTTAGTCAACACATCCTAATTAATGTCCCTGCTTTCTGATTTCTAACACCTGGATTAGTTTTGTCAGCTTTTGATTTTTGTGTAAGTGAAACTATATAGTCTATATTCTTTTGTATCTGTCTTCTTTTGTTCAACACTATGTTTGTGTAGTTCATTCTTTGATGGATATAATAACAATTTCTTATCCATTCTATTGTTGATAAATATTTGGGGGTTAGCGGGAATGATGCTTCTATGAATATACTTGTATATGACATTTTTGTGTACAGATGTACACATTTTTATGTATATACCAAGGAATAGAATTGCTGGGTCATAGGTATATATATTTTCAACTTAGAAGTTCTCCAAAGGGGTTTGAATTTAAATTTTACCTTGATGACTAAAAAGGTAGGATACTGTTATATATAGTATTGGCTTTTGTTTAGTCTTTTTTGGGAACTCCTTATTCAAGAATCATGCCCAGTTTTCTTGGGAGTTTTCTGTATTTTTCTTAGAAATATGGAGAGATTCTTTCAATATTCTGGATATGACCATTTTATAGAGTATATGTGTTGCAAATATCTTTTACCCCCGTTCTGCTAGTGGTACTTTTGATTATACAAAGTTCATAATTTTAATGTTGTCCAATTTATAAATCTTTTCTTTTATGGTTTATGCTTTTTGTGTTAAGTTTTAGAAATCTTTTTCTATTCAAAAGTCATAAAGATACCCTCTTATCTTTACCATCTTTTTTTTTTTTTTTTTACTTTTCACATTTAGATCTACAATTCACCTAGAATCTATTCTTGTATATGGTGTGAGGCTGAAGTCAAGATTAATTTTTTCCATATGATATACAATTAACCCAGAACCATGTATTAAAAAGACCAACCTTCTTCACAACATTGCAGTGTCACATCTGTTATAAATCAAGTGCCCAAATATGTGGAGTGAGAGAGAAAGGGAGAGGAAAAGGCAGAAAGAGAGCAAAAGAGAGAGAGAATCAATATGTTCTTATATTTATCTCATCAGGGAAATAAATATAAGAATATTTTGCAAGACCACAAGGAGAGATGAGTGTTCACACTGAAAAGGCCTACTACATAACAAGCAGAATGAACGAAAAAGACCTAGGCCTAGATGCAGCATGAAATTTTTAGTCACCACAAATAACGAGGAGTTCATTAAAAACATTATAGAGTAGGGAAGATGGTCAAACACAGGAATGAGTATTTGACCAGCATCCAGCTTCTCCCCAGCAATGATGGATACTAGAAAGCAGTAGAATAAGGCTTTTAAAGTTTTAAGGAAAAATGAGTTTCAACCAAAATCATATATTTAGCTGAACAATCAGTCAAGCATGAGATCCTTGTAAGGACTCAACTGGTTTTCTTTTGGTGAACTTTTTAATTTTTATTTATTTTTTATTTTTTTATTTTTAAGATTTTATTTATTTGACAGAGAGAGACACAG